ATCTCACATCCTTCTAGAGGCTTTTCTTCCCTTTCCTCCATGTTCAATCTTGGTTTAGGCGCACAAGCTTTCACTGTGGTGAGATGAGCACCTAGAGTGAGGAAGCAGGTAGAGGAACTGAGAAGAGAGGAGGAGGAGAACCTGCCCGCACCTACGTAAGGGCTCTTGCTGCTCTTACTTGATCTCACACCAGGAAGGTAGGTCCCCAGCTCAAGGCCTTACTGAGACTGACAAGTCCCACCCTGCATTCATTTTACTCCCTCACCAAGCCAGATTTACCTTGATTTTCTCCTCACACATTTTCAAAGAACATTTCTTAATCTCTGGCAATGTTCTTTAACTCAGGTTCACAGAGAAGATTTGAGTTCCCCTCAGGATTAGAAACTAATGCCTACAGTTCAGGATGTCAGAGAAGACCAACAGGTGAATTGCAAACTTGAACAGAAATCTAAATGGCACATGCATCTAAAAATTACAACATAAAGAGATGAGTGGATGCAGTTTTTTTAAAAGGAGTTATTTGGACTAAGTTACACTATTTAAGCCAAAAATTTGTATAATCTGGGACAGTTTTAACAAACAGGAACTCTACAAATGCATATTAAAGAAAATTGAATAAAAATGAGGGAAGATTGAAAACCATCAAGTTACTTTCACAATGCATATAAATATTTGACACCTTTAAAATATGGGCTGATAATAACTCTAGAAAAAGACATAGATGGGACATATGAAAAGAGAAAGGAGGAAATGTAAAAATAAAGAAAAGAACTTCAAAAGATTTGTGATTTGCAATCGTGTCTTCTTTCAGGTGATTTGATACAAGGAAAATAAAGGGAAGAGAAGACCATCTGAGGGGAACAGCATACTGACTTGCCATCAAGCCAGATGACTCTGTTATCAATTCTGCCGTTATGTTTAGCAAAAAGTACTCCTTCTAGATTTTAGGGCACTCTGGTTAAAAGCCTATCGGCCACTGTCATTCTGTCTATCTTATTTTTCCCCCAGATTACTCTGTGGCTTCCAAAGGCCTGTCTGTTCATGTCTCCTTTGCTTCCTTTAGCTATATCTGATCCATTACTCTACGGAATCCCAGAAACATAATGCGCTGATCCAAAACTCTGAAGTTCAAAGTAGATAGATGACACCTTGAGAAGAAGTTGTGAAGGGCCCATTAACACAGGACAGAGCAGGCTTCAGAGCATTTTAGATCTCTGTGAGTACAACAGCAGTGCTTCTATTTTTTCATATGTGGTTTGTTCTTGGAATCCGCAACAATGAAAAATAAAAAAGAACTATGAAGACTTACCCATCAGTCAAACAACTCACATTTTTATACGATTGATTTGTTTCTTTCCTTTTATTTTACTTGGTATGCTTGTTTACAGACTTCCTGTCTTTAATAATGTTCCACTCTGATTTAATATCGTGGTTATAAAATATTTGACTTAATCAGATTTCCATAGAGCTTATTGATTCCACATGTGTATAGCGATGCGCCTTTCGTCTGAGCCTTGCTCCACGTTACATTGCTGACTGTAATGCTCTTCAGGCCTACGAAAACTGTTTCTAAAGTTCCCTACTGCAGATCAATATTGCCATATCATGCTCGTCTGAGATCCCTGGAATATATGGATTGCTATTTAAAGGAGCAAGTCACCCTTTGGTAGTTCTAACTTGAAATAGATTATTGTTGCCAGTCAAAACAGGAAAGTAGAGCTTGAGAATGTACCTTATAATAGAGTGCTTGCTTAACATGCTTAACGCCTTGGTTCCATCCCCAGTCCTGCAAAAATTAAACAAAAGAAAACCACCATTACTTACAAATATCCATATCAAATGACCTCTGCTATCATATATGCTTCAATGTTAGCTCTTCCAAGTTCCTGTTGACACTGCTGCATCCTCATCACTATTTACCTGATGCTCCCCGGCAGCTCTGACTTATATGCTGCCTCCACTCTCTCCTCCCTGCACCACCTGGGTACTACTTTTTAGCCATGCTAAGAGGAAATGACCTGGGTATCTATGTGTCAACTATGTCCATGCGACTGGTACTACTACTGCTAAATTTTGTCAGTATCCCCTTATGTGTCTTTGTATTCCTTCTTTTTATTCCTTTTTTTTTTTTTTTTGC